AAATTGGGCAGTGTGCAAGGTGTGTGTGGGTGCGCATAGTGAGATTGCAGCGTGCGTGTGACGACGTGCTGAGAAAAAAGAGGAGAGAGAAATAAAGATATGCTATCCTTGAGCCAAGATCTATGATCTTGATGTTATTCTGATCCTCTAGTTATTCTAGAGAAGACCTACTGTAAACCTGTTATCATTATTATTGATAGTGGAAGTTTGAGGTGGACTGCGGTCCCGTGGTTTTTCCCACATTGGGTTTTCCACGTTAAAAAGATTTGGTCTCATTGTGTGATTGATTTATTGCTCTGTTGTTTATGCTGTGCTGATTGATTTAGCATTTTGATATCAAGTTGGTATTTTGATGAGGAACCTATTTTGATACACAAAGAGGGAAAAGAATTATTCCGCAGGTTTCTTCCCAACAATAAATTATCAAGCTTTTGGGATTTGTGGTCACTCAATCAAGTCTTTAAGATGATTAAAAAATATTAATTATTTTTCATGATGTTTAATTAAAAATATTTATACAATTATCATTCTTCGTTTAAGCTTACCCTATATACTCGGTTTCCTTCACTTACTTGCAAGAGGAGATGGGATGTTAATATATACGTTAAGTTCTTTCTTAAATATATTCATACAATTCTCATTCTTCATTTAGCTTAGACTTTTTTAAAGCTTAAGACTTTAGAATCATGATCATCCAATCATATTTTTAAGAGTCATTGGGTTCGGCTTAGGATTTTGTTTCATTCTCCAATCTTTTAGTGTCCTTTTTCTATGGGTTTAACCTTTGTATCAATGGATGGCTATTGGTTTAGATTATTGAACAACGAAGATATTATACGAGGCTTAAACTAATGTAAAATCATGCCCTTATGGTGATTTGATCTACTTTAAAGGCTTACTGATGAAGATGCAGTCCAACTTAAACTCCTAGTTTGAGCACAGAATCAGCTCATATACATTATAAACTTATTATTTTAGAGCATTATGACAAACCTAGAAGTGATAGAGTATGCACTCTTTAGCTTGTGCACATGTACTTCAGTTTAGGCATGGTTCTCCTCTATTTAGTACTGGATAATGGTGCTGTAACTTGGCTCTGGTTTGTTGACTGTTCTCTTCTACCTTCCAGCTTGTCCTGAGCAATATGTGGTTATTGTTTTCTGCTCCATTTCAGCATCCACACATGCATCTTCTTGAGAGGTTGTCTTCTCCCATTATTTTACCAACTCGTGTAAGTGCTAATGTGGCAACAGTACATGCAAGTGCTGAAGCTTGAGATAGAGACGGGGGGAGAGTGGTGTGCCATGGATGGTGACCGACCATTCTCGTTCCCGATTACAGTGGAAGAGCCTTGATTTCCTGCAATTAAAGCTGGATATGTTCATGGTTAATATGACATTATGTTTGTTGAATGAATGCCTTTGCAACAGGCATAATCTAGGCCTGGGGACTGTGTACAGCAATCCAAAGAGGAGTTTGGCATCACAAATTGGCATGGTTTAAATGAATACATCGTTTGTACTCTCAACTAAATCTTTTGGCAGAGATCTTACCCAGCTTCTCCCTTTCTCTGTGGTATATTATCTTCGTTTGTGTTGCACTATATCCCCAAGTCCTCCATGGCCAGTTCAAGCATTGATTCCAATGTGTTTCAACTTGAAAACTGGATCATCACATTTGCAATGATCCTTGCAAGCACAAAGAGTACTAATGAATGGCTGATTCTACATTTCAATTTAGTTGATGAAATACCAATTTAATGGATCCACATACTTTGGCACATGAACTTCACTTGCCAATAATCTCAATTTTATTCATCTCACTTCAAACCTTTAAAGCATAAATCTTTTCATCTCATTCTCTTTTGTTTTATTTTCTTTCATCTCAAGCTTGCAGCACACAAGGAAAGAAGGCCAACACAAAACATCAATCGCAGAAACATCAGCTCAGCACACTGTAAAAGGATGGACTGTAGAGAGTGTTTCTTAGATCAGGAGATGTCTTCCTCTTGGGGAAGAAGTCCCCGATCAGTGGAATGAGAGGCCTCCTCTTCCCCACCTTTGTTTTTCCTCTTCCACCAAGCTCATCTTCCATCCTTCCGAGGCTAAGCGCTTGAGCCAGCGTCGGCAAGCGCTCGCTGCTCCCGATCCTTTCCTCTCCCCATCGATCACTTCGAACTTTGCAGGGCCGCTCTTCGATCGCCAAGCCGCTTGCTTCTGTTTTGGACATGCTCTTCTGGAGCTGGAGGCACAGAGCAGCGACCGCTACCTTCGTCTCCGACTGCATCTCCTTCAGTAGCTTCACTTCTCGTTTTGCCTCGTACAGCTCCGCCTCCAGCTTCCTGACAGCGTTGACGACTCTGAGCTCATCGTCTCGCTCATGAACGAAGCGGAACGTGGAAGACAGGGAGGGCGGCGAGGAGTTGGCCGAAAAGACAGGCTTAGGAGGCGGCAGAGAACAGACCGGGCTTCTGATGATGTCGAGCTTGGCAGATGAGCTGGTGGCCTTGCGAGAACTAGCGTTGCCTGCGTGACAGCGATCGCGGTAGACCGCGACGGCCTCCTTCACGGAGCGAAAAGGACTGGTGGAGTCGACCTCAGCGGGCTCGAACGCCATGGTAGCAGGAGCGCAGCAGTGTCCGACGATGCACTGCACCCATAGAGTGCAAGGGGATAAGAAGGGAGTGCTGCGATGGCATGATGACGATGATGATGAGTTTGTTTGCTTGGCTTCCACTTCAAAGGCACGCCTAATCTCGAAGAGAACAAAAGCAGGACACCAAGGAATCATATGATTCATGCACGACAAAACAAGATCATACAAGCTGTATGATCGTTCATGCAGAGTGCTCAATTAAAACCAAACAAAGAAAAAAATCAATCGAATCCGTAAAGATCTGCAACTATTCCACTGGTTATTAGCGACCTTAAACTGCATCCCCACGCTCGAAGAGCATGCAAGAGTCAATGAAGTGATACGTACAGTGGGCACAGGACATGCCTCACTATGAAGCAAAATGCCAGGCAATGTCGCCAACCCAAAGCAATCAGTCTGTGCCTCCTCTCCATCTTGCTTCGAGTTCATGAGATGTGATATGGGCAAAATAAGTTGAAAGCTGCGTTACACATCAACACGGTAGGATCCTTTGCAATTCGGGCAGCTCAACTATAATATTTCTTATAATTTTTTTGGTCTCATAATATTTTCCATAACAGCTCTATTGCGATCTTATAAAAGGGACTAAATTATGAAACAAAAAAAAGTTGTGTGACGTGCTTTACACAGGGGATGGATCAAATTGGCTCCAATTATCGATCTCAAATGGATGATTTCAATCTATCCACATGAGACGACGCCGCTAAAACTGCTCTCTTCAGTAGTTTGTATCTCGAATGATCTGTTTTTCCCCTGCAATTGCTGGATGATCTTCTTGGTATGGTTGCTCATACTGTAAGAATAATTGGTATTTGGACGTCCCAACCACACATCCGCTTGGGATCAGTGAATTAACATCATAGAACTCCAACAAAAATGATTGTGTCAAGCTAAGCTTCAGTTTACATTCCAAGGAAAAGCCTCATGTCTTGCAGAATTCTAAAACCTGTAACGACAAGAATAGTTCTATCTTCTCTTAGTGTTATATTCTTCATTTTTAAATTACTAATAATATTCATAATTTTTTTAATTATTTAAATATAAAAAAAATATTTAATAATTTTTTTTATTAAATAATTTTATAGTGAAAGCTTAATGTTAGGGGCCTATTATAAATCTTAGAATTTGAATATTATTTGTGAAAGATTCATATTAAGTTAATAAGAAAAAATCATGAATATCATAAATAATTAAAAAAATTAAAGGATATTATATTTAGATTCACGGTTATGAAATAGTTGATGGGCCCACTATGACGTGGTTAGTTGACGTTAGCCGGAGTTCTCATGAGGAATTCTACTAGTATCCAAATGTCTAAGTCCCACTAGGAGGATTTTGGTGTCGAAGGACAAACAAGTAAAGAAAAGTGCTGCTGCTGCCGCCGCCTCAATATATATATATATATATATATATGGTTCAAACATTGATAAGAGTTTTACCTTCTAAAGAATCTGCTCAATACCATTAGGTAATGATGTTTTCCGTCGAAAGGAATCAATTAGCTAATGATTTAGATGTCACCTTTGTTCTACAACAGTTAGCAACATGTGATCTTGATCTTCCCCTCTCCATAATATTCCATTGTTCACAAACTATGAGCTTCCTGTTCAAACTCTCTTGATTTTTCTGGTGCAAAAAGTAATTACAATTCACTAGTCAGATCGAATCATATTCTAAATGATATATCATCATTTTTGTAAGATATAAATACCTCATAGCCATGAAATGTTAGCCATGCAGCACATGACACTAGTGAGAAATAATTTTTAAAAAAGAAAGTCCAAAGATAAAATCTAAATGATTCAAAAGTATAACATAAATTTTTTGTCACAAGAAATTGGATGTTGATTTATACTTTCAAATAAAGTCTTTCTATTACCTACTCCTCTCACTATTAATATTTATCACATTATCTCTTGTTATCATAGTATTTATGTCATATATTCAAACTATCTCAAATGATTTTATTTTATTTTATTTTATCTGATATCGAGTTACGTCAAATTGTTTATGAATGATTATTCAAGCAATAATTTCCTCAAATTATTCGTCTCCTGTTATTTTAAATCTCTTTTGTACTCACTACTCCACTCGAGTAGATAAACTGAGTTGATAAACTTCGTACTAACTAAACCTATATAGAAATCGATTACAAGTTTATGCAATATCGTTGACATATACAGCAATTATGTGGGTATGACAGTAAGATAAATTATTTTTAGACGAATTAATTGGAATTACTATAATTTCCCAATTTTATAATTATCAGTATTTTTCTTTAAATATGTGTCAAATTTTGTGGTTAGGTGTCATATTGGGTATGTTCTGTGGGTGTCTAATGCCCAGCTCAAATTCAAATCGGTGCCCCATCCGTCGTCACCCCGATTCATCAAGAAAAACCTAAACCCTAATCGCTCGACACCGCTATCGGCCCACACCTCTCCCATGTAGAAGAGGAATAAGAGAGAGGAGGAGGAGAATACGACGACGAGGCGATGCCTTCCTATTCGATCACGCGGCCGTCGCGGCAGGAAGATTACGCTCGCTTCTCCCCGAACACCCCCATCGTGATCGACAATGGCGGCTCCTCGTTCCGGATTGGGTGACGCCCTAAACCCTAGCCCTGGATTTCGTTCCGTCGCGGCTTCTTGATGTCGCCTCGTCTTGCTTTCTCCTTCAAAATTGTTTTCTTCTGTTACAGGTGGGCTGGGGAGTCGGATCCACGCGTCACCTTCCGCAACGTCGTCCAGAGGCCTCGCCACAAGGCTACCGGTACTCTACTATGTTCCTAGGTGTCGGGGGATTCTGAATCGCAATGTTTTCTGTTTATATACAATTTGCTATTATCTGGTTCTGCTAACTAATATTTGTCGTCAAAACGTGGTATTTTAAGGACGACATTGTCCTAATCCACTTAATTTAGCGGCCAGATTACCCCCTTCCAGTGATAGGGTTTGGAGGCTGTGAGTTTGCTATTTTTCAATGCGATAGTTTTCTTATTTGTTGCACGAGCATAATTAGGAGAGAAAGGAGCCCCATTGTTGAACACTAACCTTTTTTTTACCATGGAAAATGATATTAAAAAAATTTGCAATGTACTGATTTGATTTATTGAAGGACGAAAATACAACAATTTCATGTAATTTCTCCTGTCTGTCATTTATGCGAGGAATAGACATGATTCTGATGACATGATACTATGTGATGCAAGCCAATATTTAGCTTTATTTTTATCAATTATATCATGTGACAATAAGGTTAACGGAATCATTAAATATATTCTTGGTATCCTCGTACTTCAAGTTAACATCTCTTCTGAAAAATGCAGGTGAAACTGTCACTATAGTTGGTGATCATGATCCATCATTGATGAAGTACTTTGATTGCACTCGAACATCTTTCCGATCACCATTTGATAACAATGTTGTCTATCAGTTTGAGATAATGGAATATGTGAGCTTCTTTTCCAGTTCTAATTAATATTGAACTTTTTGCTTCCTCTAATCCTTACAGTTTGACCAGTAGAAAATCATGTCTTTCACCATTTCAGAAAGAGCTTGTTGTTTGATTCCATATCCATTTTTTCCCTTAAGCAGTGGCCATTGGATGCTGGAAACGGAAGCGAAATGATTTTTGAATTTGATACACAAGTACAGAGATTAAGTTTAAGACTTGTCATGTGCATGCAAGTTAGGATTGTAAAACTATGGTTTGAGATATTTAATTTGGAGGCATGTGTAAGATACTATGTGATATTAGTACAAGTTCCTAGTATAAGTTTCCCTAATAGAGGCCAACAAACCACCTTGTGGCAAAGAGGAATTGATCTATGCTAATGTAGCCCTCTTGCAAATTGTTTGGGGACTGATCGTTCTTTAGCTGTATAATGCTTTGGTATGTGCAAAGGTATCACACAAACATCAACTAAAGGCCTTCATACAAAATGACATCTTCAAGCCACCCAGCCCACAAAGAAAATTATTGATTATCGAGAAGGTTAGCTTGAAGGTTTTAAATATATTGAAGTCTAAAAAGCTCCTAAAATTGAAGATGGCAACAAGGATGAGCCATCATGCAAATCAAACATCTATAACTAACTATGCAAGGAAATATCCCAATGAATGCTTCGTCTTCTGTCACGGACTTAGTTGGTTTTGCCTAAGTCGTGCGGCACCCTTGCGTATTCGTCCGCAAATGTCAGCCTCCCCGAAGTCTCCCATGGTTCCTTAGGACCCACAAAGGAGAGAACGGGTTAGAGAAAACGTCTCATTCGGGATCCACAAGCAAACGTTTCCGAAAACACTTCATAGATAATGCAAATTATAAACAGACTTTACAAGCTCTGAACAGTTGCACAACAAAGGGTCAAAATGGTCCATTACAGACTGAAAATCTCTCACAAGTGTCCACATTACACAACCTTTATTTACAAGCTTAAAGCGGTCACTAAACCCAACTAAAATAGGACTATTTAGCCTTCGGTCGTCCCTCTACATGCTGTGCAAAGCATGAACATACCAAAAGACACGGATATACATAAGCATTACATCAAACATCCTGTTTAGAAGTTTGTCCGTGACATTGGGGAGAACTATATAACATGTCATGGTTACACTAATGTTGTTAAAAGGCGCCTGGGCACTCGCCTAGGTGCTTGGGTGAGGTGAAGCAAGGTTCGAGCGCCTCGCACATGCTTGGGCGACGCGCTTTAGTGAAGCATCGCTTGGGCATTTGCCTCAGCCCAAGTGTCGGGTGCCTTGGGCAAGTGCTGGGTTAAATGTGAACCAGATTGTTAATTGGTTCAATTAAACTAGGCATTTGTCGGTTCAATTGAACCAACTAGGAAAATAAACCCCTCCCCCTGTGCAACCCACACACATATAGTAAAACCCATGCCACAGTAAAACCCTAACTACTATCGTCGCCCCCGACGCACCAATGCTCCGTCGTCGTTGTCTCTGTGTACAGCTCTCTTCATCGTCAACGGATAGCTTTGACGCTTCCTCTGCCATCGACGAACAAGTACAAAGCTCTTGTCGTTGTAGCTCTTGTGCGCGGTTCCCTCCGCCACCGCTGTTTTCGTGTGCAACTCATATAGTCGTCGAGGGACAGGTTCGTAGCTTCTTCCACCACCAACGGACACATCTGAAGCTTCCTCTGCCCTTGACCCCGTCGTTTGTAGCTTTCTCCGTTGTTGTTGTCGTCGTTCGAAGGTTCCTCCGTCATTGTCATTGCCATCATCCGAAGGTTCCTCCGTCACCGCCGCCCTCTCCTTCCCCACCTTCCACCGCCGATGACTCTTCTTCTCACTATTGTGTATTGTTATAACTGTTAACCCTATTAATCCTTTAAAATTGATATTAATCCTTAGAACTATTAACCATATTTAGAATTGCTAATCCCTATTTAACGTTGTTAATGATTATTTAGAAATGTTATTAATACCTATTTAGCATTGCTAACCTCTATTTATTTAGAATTGTTAATAGGGTTTTAGGAATAATGGCAAGTGCAGAAAGTAATTCAAAAGATTTGTAACAAAATTCAAGAGAGGATCCTAGTTGAGAATACAATTATCTAAAGGATGATGATGATTAAATTTGATGTAAAACTTTATTGTTTTGAGTCTTTTAACATTTTTGTTATTTTATGGACAATGCAACTTGGTATTTTATATCTTTTCAATTTAATGCCATATTTTTATTTTTATAATCATATTTATCAATCATATTATATATATTTTTTTATATTTTAATATTCTAGAGTGTCCTGCTTCGCTCGAGCAAGCGCCTAGGCGAAGCGCTAGTGCCTTGGGTGTTTTGGGACTTTGACGCTTTTTGGTGCCTGATGCTTTTAAAAACACAGGGTTACACTAGTACCAAAGCAACTGAAAAGGAAACTTTTAGTAGTTTTGGTAACTATTAGTGTGAACAAGCAAGGAGAACTCATGGAAACAATAAGACTTAATGATCGTCCATATGTTATATTTAAGACATGTTACCTAATCTCCTTCCGAGACTTCGTCGAGAAAGCACTTCACATGTCTAAGAATCCATTTCTGTCAGAGCAACTGAAAGAGACACATCACTTACCTCTGTTCAAGGATCTATTTATGTCCAAACTTCTTTCGTGAAAGATAAAGAGCCTTATGTGATAAATCAAGTTTCATCAATATCCTTTCTCATCATAAGGATCCGTTACTTGCATCTGTACCACATCTGCTTTATTTCATCATCCTTTGTAACGTGTGATCTAATATTATATTGAATGTTGATATTTCACTTTAAATATTTTTTTCTAATTTATTCTTACTGCTTCCCTTTTAGGAAGTTGTGAATATATTCTTCTGTAAGCTTCATTCTCTCTATTGTGTCATGCTTTTCTCATGTATATCTTTTCTTGCAGGTTCTTGACTATGGATTTGAGCGTCTAGGTGCTAACTTACAGGTGTGTTGTTATATTTTCCTTATAGCAATAACAAAAAGTAATCCGATCTCCATGTCATTACTGCATTGTAGTTCTAACAAGCTTATTGATGTATGACTGGTACATAGATATTTGTGTGTGCCGACCCCAAATAGTTAGGACATAATGGTTTGCTGTTGTTGTTGAACACAATTATCTGGCTGTATGATGTTTTAATTATGGTATGCCATAATTATGTTGCATGGCATTATGATTCTATGATTATTGTTATCTCCTTATTTGTTCTATAACTGAGTTGATTGCTCTGCAGATAATAAAATTTTACCACTTCTGTAGTCGCCATTTCATACCTTTACTGGTCCTTTGTTCTTTAGAAAAGAACATATGGTTACATGAAGAATAATTTGGATGTCTAATTAAGATTATGTCTGTCGTTAGCCACCTCCACCATTTTTTTAAAAAATTGGAATGAAGGATTGCTTGATCCATGTTCCATTGGTGTGCTTTATCTTTCTTTACAATGAAAAGAATGAGAAAAAAGAAAACAAAAAAATGCAAAAGAATAGAAAAAAGGTAAGAAAAGAGCATGTAAATAAAAAAAGAAAACAGGGTAGAACAGAGACATATATTAATTATTGTCACCTTATTCAAAATATAGGAAATGAATATTTAATCTAGAATCTGAGTTCTTTTTGCTTTGTTTTGTTAGATTTTAGTTTATCTTGCTCTTTCTACTACACTTGGTCGATGTGCTCAACACCACAAATATGGCAAATGCACTAGTGTCATGTATGATATATCCTTTCGTTTGGTGTGGCCACAGTCATGCATATAATCCTGTATTTGAATTTTGAACCAATTTTTTATCAGATTTTGCTGAAAATCTTGGAACCAACATAACAATGTTTTAATTGCTTGTCATGGATAAAAAACTTGATTGTTGTCTTTCAATAATTCCTTGTGCACAAAGAGCAAATCATTCTTTATTAGTTACAGAAGTACCATGTTTCATATAAATTGTATTTCAGAAAATTTTGAATGAAAGCTTAGTAGGAGTATTAATGTCTTTTTTAGGTTTGCTCTATCTCCTAATGTTATTGTGTGGCTTGAATAGGTTGATCATCCTATTTTAATGACAGAATGCATATGTAACCCACTCTCCTCACGCAGTAAAATGGCGGAACTTCTCTTTGAGACTTATAGTGTACCATCAATAGGTAAATTACCTTTGTTGCTGCTATCTTATAGGTTTCTTGTGCTGTAAAATTGTATTATGTTTTACTTGTCATTTGTACTAGATCATTGTGGTACTATGGCCTGTGCTGTTCTATTGCATTTTTTTAATGCTTGGAGCATGTCTGTATAGCTTTTGGTGTTGATGCTGTATTCAGCTACAAGTTAAATCAACAATTTGGAAGATGCAATGAAGATGGTCTTGCTATTTGCTCAGGATTTTCAGCAAGCCATGTAATACCGGTGAGTGTTTTTCACATTAACATTTTGTGGAATGTTGCACGTAAAGCTTTTTAGAAAAGCAGGTCTCTGAATATGCCAACACGTTGCATGGGCAAATATTTGTTAGGCAATATATGACTTGGGTAACATGTTAAGACAACCCTATGCATATATGTAGGCATTACATTTTGTATGCAGTATACTTCTCTGTGATGTGATATATTTGCTTGTCCCGAGTCCTTTTATCTTTTCCATGTTTTGGATTTTAATGAACTTTGACCAATTATGGTTATTTAGATTGTAAAAGGGGAGCCTGTTACTGAAGCATGCTGCCGAACTAACATTGGTGGATATCATGTTACCAACTATTTGAAGCAGCTTCTTTCCCTCAAATACCCATATCACATGTATGTATGTTGCTGCATGTTATTTCATTAAATTTTATGTTTTATAAATTGGTTAACTTCCATGCATGATCGGTTGCACTTCAACAGGTCAAGCATTACATGGGAGAAGGCTGAGGAGCTGAAGATGGAGCACTGTTATGTAGCTACGGATTTTGCATCTGAATTGCAATTGTTTCAGGTGGAAAACTTGACATCCTTACCCACTTCTTCTAATCACGTTTGATATCACCATTTGTGTGGACGGTGCCATAATTTTTCTAATGCATTTGTTCAATGTGGACTTCTCCAACTGTTCTACATTGCTGTTGAGCCGACCCTGCATGTATAATCTCTCATGGATGGTGAACTTCTTAAACTAGACAGTCAATTTGCAGATTATAGGGGTTATCTGCCTCTACTTAGTGTTACTACATGTGCCCATTTGTGGCATTGGAAGCACCATACATGGTTTCAAGAGATTGTGAATTTAAGCTCATTATGATGTATTTTTTTATCTTTATATTCTCTAATCTTGATGACCCTGAAAAAAAAAATTGAGTTACACGGTAGTAGGACAGATAATCTAGTTAATTTTCGGTATCATGTTAGTTAGGAAATACAGATGGATACATAAAATGCATATATGAAATACCATAAACACAAAAAGGATGGTTCTTCTAGCCTAAGTTGTTCCCATATAAGTATTCAATTGGGTGCCACAACAGGGGGTTGTGGATACTGTACTTAGATTGCTCCTTTTGGTATTCTTATAGATCACGAATGTCATGGCATGGATAATGCAATTTTTGACATGCTTATATTTTGAAATTTACAATAATTATTTTAAAATCACAAGACACTATGTAATTATAGGAAGTTGGCCCATTTTAATATCGTTTATCTTTTTACAGACATTGATAACTATAGCATTTAAAAATAGGGACATCTGGAACACTTGTGAAGATTTCTTTGGCTTTTTGGTATCATGTATGACATCTTTGAATTACATGGGTGGAAAGATTGTGTTGTCAGTAGCATACTGCATAGCTATCATCTCTGACCTAAAGTTCTGTTATAACAGTGATAAATAATACTAGCTACTGTCACCATATTTTGTTAGAGATCTGTCACATACATATTTGCTTTAAGAAAAAACAATTTTACTGGTAACTATATACTCAAATGGATGACCCAGAAATCTCTTTCTTGGTGATTCTTGACATAGCCCTGAACATAATGTTGTTGTCTCATGCATATTTGATGTTCAGTTTTCACATATAGCTGTTGGTCTAAATGCCAATCAACCATGGAATCAAGTGTCTTGATGGGAAAGACAGAAGGGCTGCAAAGTTGCATTTCAGAATTGATCTGTGCTCTTGGAACTCCATGCTACAAAGGGGCCTCTCTGAGACATATATACAACCATCTTTTCTTTACATTATCTCATTAGTTAGACTTATATGCTTCTTTAGTCACCTTCCATATGTTCCATGTTGTAACATGAAGTATGCAGTATGTATGCCAATTTTAGGTGTAAGCTTCCATCCTTGCAACATCACTGCTTCCCTTATATAGCAACTCAGGCTTAATGTTCCATTTTGTCCGTTGAATTCAGCATCTTTGGATTGGTTACTTCAACCTCTATCTTCTCAGCTAATAAGATGCTTACAGCTTCTTGGTAGAATTTAATTAAATAATTTTTTTATAGTGGATGAGGCTTGATGATTGTAAGTTTGCTCCTCCACAATGCGCAGGCCAGGAAAAGTCTCTCTGGTTTGTAGGGGTATGGCTGCATATATTGAGCTTTCCTAGTTCCCATAGAAGCCATATTTATTGGGTTTGCCCATTACCTAGGTTCATTATTAGATATCAAATGCCTTTTGGAACTCCTTTTTTTAGATGTATAGCCCGGTACTTGTCTATGGTTCCTGGAGCGATGTAGGTTTGCACCTGGAAGCTGAGAATACACCAGATTTAGTATGGTATTCAAAATGGGAGGTGATTGTGTCTTAAAAATAGGCTTTTTATCCTACTTCTTAATCAAGAGAGGCAAAAGAAGTATGAAGAAATTTGAGTTTATGTGCTATTTATGCAAATAGAACAATTTTTTTGAAATTATTATCTGGTTGAAAGAAGAACCACTTTTATCATAAAAAACAGCTGTAATATATGATATTCATACTTAGTACTTCCTAAGCGAGTCGAAGCAGGTGTAGAAAAAATGTGTTTACTTGCTTTTTTATCAATAAAGAACATTTCTATTTTGGAATCAATACCTAGTTGAAGGAAGAACCAGTTTATTATAAAACTAGCGGTGATGTGGGTGGTCACTATGCATTTGCATGTCTGGCCAAATATGTGGTTCATATTAAAATATTAAAATGATATCTAATTAATTTCCAACAGAAAAAATCACTTTATATAAGTTATTAATAGGTAAAAAGATAATGTTGATACTGAGAATTGATATGACAATATTCATACTTTTGTTTATGAAGCTACTTAAGTCTATATTTTGGTATTAATGGGTAAACGTACAGTTGACGGATGTTATATTATCATGTTAAAAAATGTCATAAAAATAATGGTAGTTGCAAACTAAAACTAACAAGGTGACATATATGATCTAATATTTATGTTCTAACATTTTGCATATGCAGATATTCAGGGTTTAGATGGTTCGTTTGCACGTTTGAATATTCTGAATATGTAACGATGCCACATTTTGAGTCCATGTAGACCATATGTAAGGCATTAAAAATGTCTGCATTTGCCTATGCTGCCATGTGGATTTCTTTCAGACAAAACAGGAAGAATGCTTTCTTAAGTACAAACTTTTATTTTTTTTCGTTCTCATTGCAGAAAGGGAATGAAGAAGCTAAAGAAAAGACTAGGTGTTGGCAACTACCATGGGTTCCACCTACTCAAGGGGATGTACCATCTGAAGAAGAACTTGCAAGAAGAGCTGCTTTAAAGGAAAAACAAGGACAACGATTACGAGATATGGCTGCTGCACGAAAGTCTATTAGGATAACAGAGCTTGAAAATGAACTGAATGGTCTGGAGGATTTATTGCAGCAGCTTGATGAGGTGGAGGAACCTGAGGTCTCATCTATCTTGTCTGGAACAAAGTTCTTCTCCAGGCAAGAAATTGAGTCTGCCATTCTAAGAGTAACACAATCGTTGCGGAAGGCTAAAGGTGAACCTAGTGAACCTGAGGAAAAAAATGATTCTTCGTTGTCAGAGAAATATCCGCTGGTCAGTGTACCTGATGAATTGCTGTCCCCAGAACAGGTATTTTGCTATGTGCACTTGTGTTCTTCCAATATAATTGCCATGATGTCTTTGATTTTGTTCCCATGATACTTGACTGCACCCCGTTGGCACACTGATCAATTATGAGAGTTGTCACTCCAACCTTGTTATCTTGTTGAAAGGTGTGAATAAATTCTGTTTGATGTTTCAACTTTCCTTGACAGTTAAAAGAAAAGAAAAGGCAGATATTTCTCAAGACTACCTCAGAAGGTCGATTGCTTGCCAAACGAAAACGCTTTGAAGAGGAATCATTACGAGAGAAACAGAATCAACTAGATGAAGAGAAGAGACTGTATGTATCGTATTTACATCAAACAATTTTTCTTTTGAATAAATCTGGATGGAATACATTTATATCCTTAATGACATGAAGTTGCATGCTGAGGCATAGCTAAGAAATGTTATTTGGAAAATCATGCTTTTTGTTGGGATAAGACAACTTGCTATTTGGTGGTTGTGATGTTAATATAGTCAAATTATGTTATGTTGATGGCAGAAATATCCTGTGAAAGTTAAATAGACTCTGTTAAAGTAGCAGACCAGGAAGTTGCACCAGTGCCAGTACTGCTTTTACAAGCATGATATTTCAATTTGGGGGGCCACAAGTAACCTTGCAATGTTATTAGGCAATCGAACTTTTTAGAACTGTGGGAACCATATAAGCTGAATTTCCTGGATACAATAACACTACCATGTTTATTCCTTTTAATTTCCAGGTTCTCTTTGCCTTTTGCTATAATGTGTTCATTTTTTTCTCTGATCTAATTGCAGAGAAAATCCAGAGTTATACCTTGAGCAACTGCATGATCGATATCGAGAACTCAGCGAGAAAGTCGAGTTAAGAAAAAGGGTGAAAACAAATGGCAATCAGAATTTGTCAGGGGGTGTTGGCCGTGGTGAACGTTTGAGTGCTGCTCAAAAGGAGAGGATGCGCCTCTTGACATCTGCAGCATTTGACAGGGGAAAAGGTGAAGACACTTTCGGGGCTAGAGATGAGGACTGGCAACTCTACAAACTGATGAGCAAGGATAATGATGATGATGACAATGGGCAAGATGAGGATGAAGCAGAACTAGCACGTGTCACATCTAGACTTCAGGTTAGTTTTCTGCAACTTTGCATTTTCATAATTTACTGTCTCTAGTCTGTCATGACCACAGTTTGAGACCTATTAGCTTTAATGCTCCAGAATTTGTGGAATTAAGTAGGTTCTTGGTCCTTCCTCACCTGGAAAATGCAGTAACAAATGCAGTTGAATTTTATTTACATTTTCGAAATAGGTAGTATGTATCAACTTTGTCTTGCCTGTAGTGATAAAACTGTGCTTATTGATTTATTGTTTTTGGCTATCCAATTTGACATATGCTATATGGTGCTGGTTAATTATTTTATCCACTTTATAGTTGCTGTAATTTCCCTTTGCTTGATATTCTTGCATCTTAGAACTATAAACAATTTAAAAACCTAGCTTAAACAAGCATAGTACTGTTTGTGGGTAGCCATATGATGATTCATCACTTTGTATGTCATTTGCAATCGTTTCCTGTTTATGCTTTATTAAGTTCCTATGGCATGTAATTTTGAAATTCTGAAGCTTTTGATTGTCTTGAGATAGTTGTATGTCGTGGAGATCCTTACAAAATATGTTATCTGATAAATTACCACAATTACTTAAAAACTCATGCAATTCCTTGGTGAAAATTCTTGAACTTTGTCGAATATCTTGAACAATAGCTGATATTGAACAAAGTCTTCTGGAAATTTTAAATTTCTTCTATTATAGTTTCTCCATACCTCTTCTTAACCGTTTTATAATAATCGCTTTTCCATATTCCATTCACTTTTTCATGATTCATTTCAGAATGAGGAGGTTAGTCATTCTCTTGACTATCTTTTTCATTGTATGACCATATTAAATTCTATCAGTATCACTTTGTTGATGTGGAAGTGATTGTTTTTATAATATAGGGTATATGGATGCCCTTAGACTGGGCAAACAAGGTGTGAGATGATCGTCTTTTAGAAGAAAATATTATTGGGGGGAAGTTATCCTATTCTTTCTAATTGCATTTATATATGCATTACGTTCTCTCAGCTGGCTTGTCTTTAAACAACCGTGATCTCGATGTTTCTTCCTAGCATCAAGGTTATGTTTGTGGATCTCTTGGACTGCGAATAAATATTTGCTGGATGACAGCTGAGCTATCCCTGTTTTCTCAGTATCTAAATCATGAAACCTCTTGCAGCCTCTCAGTCGATCTGAGGTTGCATTAACATACAACTTAGGTTTCACCATCAAGTTGTATAAATATTTTGGACATATCATATGTTGTCTATGGGGTGTGGATATTGGGGACAAATATCTTTTACTGTTAGAGTTTATCGGTCACATTATCAATTATTTAGTCTCCTCAAACTTGACAGCCTTGTCTAATAATAGTGTTAGATTGATGTAGTGTTCTGCTTTCTGAATGAACCCACCTTCTTTTGGATAACCCTTTAAGCATGGCAGGATTACATCCTTTTCTCCATTCCTGTAAATGCAAGTGGAAGATATAGGTTCTTTTCATGGTTATATTGTGTTAGATTTTGGTTTGCTTGACTCCCCGAATATTGCTGCTGAGTTTCAGTATGATTTAGCTAAGGATGCTTTGCTTAATTATATCCATTTTCTTTTCCTGCATATTTGACTCATTATGTGATATGTCAGTTTGTATAGATAGGAGAGAATTGAAAAAAGTGCTGACATTAAACTCCAAGTTGTACGCAACTTTTGTGTTCATGTAGAAACTTAGTGATCTTTTGTGACACTTCATGCAGTGAGCTTTCATTCCATATTTCTGGTCATCTACTATCAAAGTCCGTTTATTACTTTATGCAGTGAGCTGTCCATATCGGCTTCCATTGATGCCAATGTTTGTTTAGTGATCTTTTTTCACTTTGGCAGGATATAGATCCTAATTTTGTTCCTAAATCTGATTTGGTCCCACCTCAAGCAACACCTGAATTTTCAAAATTCCGTCCTCAAAGTTTAGAAGATTTCAAGATTGTTCTCGGTGTGGAGCGTTTCCGATGCCCAGAAGTTCTATTCCAGCCTAACATGATTGGGATCGACCAAGCTGGCCTCGATGAGATGGCAGGAATCTCGCTCCGGAGGCTAGATAGGGTGGATGATCCTATCAAGGATGATATAACCAAATCAATATTAGTTACCGGCGGTAGCGCTCTCCTTCCTGGCTTGTTGCCTCGCTTGGTAGCTGGAATCCGGCAAATGCGCCCTTACCTCTCTCCTCTAACAGTCGTCAGAGCATGTGACCCCATATTAGATGCATGGAGGGGTGCATCGATATATGCAAATTCTCCACAGTTCTCTTTACAGACTCTTAGCATGCAGGATTATTACGAGAAAGGTGAAAGCTTGCTTTGGCAATACCAGATCAAGTACACAATTTGATTTATACAACGCCATTCTGAGTGCAGCGGTGTCATTGTTCCTCGTATATGTTCATATTGTCCTATTTGGGTTCCGAGAGTTAAATATGTATTTATACTGTTCTTTTAGACTAATTTATACTGTTTTAACCCAGATTTTTCTTGATAAATTAAGATCCGTTTCAGGTGATGTTAGCCGTTAAATCTATTAATAATTCCGTTATGAGAAGCTGAGTGGATGTTTCTTGGCCTAAGAAGCCATACGTGTAATGCTTGCTTTGTCCCGTAGGACACTTTTAGTTCGATGAAACTGGAGCTGCAGGAGCGCGTACATGACGTATTCCACTGAGGCGATGTCTGGGAAATATGAACTGATGCAAGCTAAAGTTTGCCGTCATGCGATCCGGACGAGATGCACCTTTGGGTGCTAAAACAGAAGACATATATATATATATATATATATATATATATATATATATATATATATATATATATATATATATATATATATATATATATATACGAGTTATGCAAGTACCAATACATTTTATGAGCAGAGAATTCATGCAATTTAAAATCTTTTACAGTCTTTGGACCAGAATCCAAATGTGGCTGCCAATTATTTCACTAAGGTAAATCTTTACCAAGTGATGGTTCACCCTCCATTATTTTCCAGAAAAAAAAAGAAGGAAAATGAAAACAGAAATTATCTTGCTATTCTTCTGCAATTTCAATTTTTTTTCTCACAATTTTCAACTTAAAATACTACAGCTAAAGTTCTAAAAAAACGGGGGAAAAAAGCAGACGTGAACATGCCGTGCAAAAAAGAAAAAGTTGTTTTACATCGTCAGCAGTCCATTTCTCCATCATAGAAAGTCATCTAAATCTGCCATTTCTCCATTCTTTCAGCTCCTGCAGAAATAATATTTTTCAACATAAATTGTCATAGAAAGTCAGGCCAATTGTCCTGCAAGATACAAATATGATTCTTTAAGGATCTCAATAACATCGCATGTAGTCCATTCAACGACAGCAAAAAGAAAGCTCGTATGGCTTCATCCAAGATTTCAAATGAATGGAAACTTTCACTAAATGATTTTACTGAAATAACAAAAAACTAAAGAAACAAACTAGTATTTAAGAATAAAGGGTTACTCTCATATAGGCTCCTCCATTTTGGCATATTGACTGTTGGATACCTGTCTTATCCACTACTCATATCTTTCAAACATTTTAGTAGTTTCTAAATTAATCCACTTACTTATTCCTAACAAGGCATCTGAATTGGCATTATTGCCATTGGTTACAAATTCTCAACTATGTGGTCTTTGACTCTTTGATGCTCTATCGCAGCAAGAGCTAACATGAAATGAATAGTGATGTCAGGATGTAAATACATGTTCAACATATTTGACCATATGACAGGATTCAAATTATAAATATGCTAAAATAGACAGCTTATTTTAAACGACACTAGGAAAATTGTCAGTCCCTTACGATGTGACCATGATATTTATATTTTTTTGTAAACTAACGTATTATCCAATAAGAATTGCATATTCAACCAACTAACTCCTGATGAAAAAACCAAAGAGCATGGCTTCATGATTTAAAAGTTTAGGCAGAAAAACAACCACATGCATGAAGACACTATTGTGGAATCTGGAGGGGCTCAGATGTATAGATCCTTATTATTGATGTATGTCAGCTGTTTCAGTGTTCAAACACATGAGACTTGTTGGTACCAAAAATAAAGCAGCGGATTCAGTAGCATCAGCTGCAATAGAGGCACAGTGCCACTAAGTTAATAAAAAAATGGCTCGGTGGTACGTTAGCAAATTGGTTGCGATAGAAGATCAAATGTTGTGCACTCTTTCATAGCTTATGTTTCTAAATTGTGAAAATGATCGCATATCCATAATAAAAAACATGGTGCTCCAATATTTATCTGACCAATTATCACCCATATTTATGAATACCATGTGTAACCAAGCAATGACAAAAAATTGAAACAGACATCACCTCAAAGACATGAATTACAAGTTCCTGTTTAATTTAGATCAATATATAACTATGTTCATCTAAAAGAATTAAGCAATAAAATGTTTCGAGCGAGTGTTAAATTTTTTACATAAATGGATATAAGACAACAAAAATAATGAAGCATGATGATTAATTATATACCAAATCTAGAAAGTCTTAAGAACTTAAATTGAGTTGATAGAGCAAGAAATCCATGGTGTTAATAAAAAGAATAGGAAAGAGGGCGGAGGAGATCACATCATTGTGAGATATAACAAGTGACAAACAGTTTAAATAATTATCTAAAGATATTGCCTTATACATAGCTCAATGGTTGGAAACAATCTATGTAGGTGACCCAGAATAGATGGGACATTATGACTTGTTGTTGTTTTAGTAGTAGAAAACAAATGATCATTATTGACTAATTTGCTGTTACCAGGAAACAGAAGAACTGGGATTTAAAACTGGGAAAAAAAATCTTATGTCAAATTGGCAACAAGGTTATATCCAACAAACTGTAACAATAACGCCGTTTTTTTTTACCAAAAATGTTATTGGCTCACAGAGAAATTACTGTTGGGTAATCATGAAGCTTCATGGTTCAATATTTGCGGTGTGTCACTTGGTATTTGTTTTCAGAAGTCCAGCAAGTGGAGCACAATGTGTTGAGTCATAGTTGCACTTTTCACAGCATAGTTGCAACAGTCCAATGACCTTCATGCACCTGAAATAAATATTACAAGGAAAAATTATTTACCTTAGGTTAACCATAATTAATAACATAATCTATCACAATTTACTATGTTGATGTTGTTGCACATTCTGATATGCAAGCTCATAATCTAATCCAGAAATTTACAAATGTTAGAAAGAAAAGAATCAAGTTGAAAATACAATTACATCCAAATGAAATGAAGAAACCATTTCCAGAATTTCTTTCAGCATCAGAATTTACTTTTGTCAAAAGTAGTTACTAGATTGTGTGTGAGAAGTGAAAAAAAGATGTCCAAGTGCACAAACCTCCCACCAAAAAAGGGTTTTGGAAGGGTCAATGAAAGCAGCCCCACCCTTCTGAGTGGAGAGCTTGTTACCAATAGCTGCTAGACTATGAGGGCATATTTATATTGTCCGAGCAGAAAAGGCATCAATCCTTAAACATGGCTAAGCAAAATCATGTTCGTTAACTGCAAGAAGTTACCTAGTAATATTCATGACCCCCCAACAACCAGAAACCTGGTATTTGATCATTTATATCACTAGCATATCAGTGAAGCCTTGAATCAGCAGGAAATCACCAGAGATCTTCTCCTTTTTTTAACCCATTGTCATACTGGTAGTATAACTGTGAATAATATTTTAAAAATCATTTAACTAGAACCCGATATACAAACCACAAGGCAGGTATATATCTATACACACATAATAAATGTCCCATGTCCCTTGACTTGAGATGCATACCATGCTTTAGTCCTTTACAGAAAATAGATAAACAAGCATCTCAATCCATCTGGACTTATCTATATGGATATTGAATCAACTATTTATGTGTTGAGAATCAATTCTAAGATGATTAAAAAAAATAAAGAAGAAAATAAGTTAGAAAATATTGATACATTGTTTACCTGTTAGAAATCAGAGTTAACTGAAGTAAAAATATGACAATTAGATATGATAAATAAAGGAATGACATGTAAAACATCACTTCAGTAGAACAAATAACATGGGACTTCATACAGAAGAGACAAGTTACTAGAATGCATGGGGGAAAAAGCTGAGAAGAGAACAACAATTATCTAATCCATCACAATGAACTAAAGTTCAAGTTACAAAAATATCAAAAAACATACTAATTTTAGAATTTATGGGATTTAACTAGAACTCTCTAGAACCTCAATCATCAGCAAGTCCTTTTCTGTCCCTTTCTCATGGGCTTACAGTGATTGACAAACCTACAAATAACAATGATGTAGAATGCTGAAATAAGTAATCCCATCATAAGCTCAGTAAAAGATTCCAGGCAACAAGAAAAATCTGAACTGGGGATGCAACTTCACTTGAAAGTTTCCTGCCTTACCATGGAGCCCAAAGTTGTTCGGCCATTAGAACTATTAAATCTATGGCTGGTCGATACAGTAGCTTATAAGTGTTGCTATCAGTTGAGAACTAAAAGGAGAAGTTCTTGCAATGTCACAGTGGACTAAATGGATTTACTAAGTCAGATCTGCTCTCTTCTAGTTCTTGCATTGATGTCCTTGAAAGAAAGGCAGAACTGCCGGTTGCTAATAAATAAATTCAGTCTAAACTTGCTCTATGATGTAGAAGATGTCCTAACAAACATTAACAAAATGGTTCCCATATGAACGGACTTATATCAAACAAGCAGCAAATTCCAGAAATTACAAGTTTATCTTGTGTGAGATCTCAAAGATGATATAAAGAGTAGCAAACAAGTCACGACACGTATCTGATAGGCTAATTGGTCAATCAACTTCGTTTGACCTAAACAACTAGTCAAAATGCTTAAGCTGAAATTGATACTAATACATTATAAGATCCTTATAAGTCAAACTTAGTATTATTCACTTTAGATATGGAACTAATCGGGGTGTTATAAAACAAATATTAAAATGAATGCCCAAGTCAAAATGTAAAAGACTTTGATATTTATAGTATGGACAATTGACAAGATATATGAACAGCAGAATCTTGAATAAAAAATGTAGCGAGCTGAAACATGTAGAAAAAGAACTAACTCAATTTAAAGATAAAACACAGAAAATGAAAAAAAATGTAACCGAGGCTAAGAGATTGAAGATAGAAGAGAGATAGGTGAAGAGTTAGAGAGATACTAAGGGGAAAAAAAATAATGCATGGAGGCATAGCTTCACAGAAATATTATTTTATGTCCAAAACTCCAAATAATCATCAATCACACAATCCCTGTTTCTCCCCAGCCAGAATGTTCTAATAATCCAGTAGCAACTATCATTTGAATCTGCACAACTGCTACAAGATAAGAAATTTATTTCATGCTAACAGAAATCTGACCTCAACACGAGTATAATCTATAAGTTATTTAACTCCAGTTAGACCAAAAAAAAAATCCTAAACTATCTCCCCAAAGACATTGTAAACAGAGGTTAGGGATGAATTTTAGTTCAGACCCAAACATAGAAGAGCTTTGCGTCTAATGGTGAT